TTTCTGTTACTTTTCGCTTCGTGGCCAGCGTTTGATAAGGTCCCTAGTGTTCTGATTTCCTGACTGCAGTTTCCTTTCTGATCAATGTTTGATCCAATGTATGGGAACTCTTTAACTATTTCAATTTTCTTACTGTCTAGGTTGAATTAATGTAGATCCTCCATGGTCATTATTTTTATTTTTTTATGTTCAGAAACAAACCTGCCTTTGCACTTTTTTGACTTTCTTTACTGATTGTTCCAAGTCTGTGATGCTTTCTGCTAATAGTCTGGTGTCATTTGCATATCTTTGGACATTATCAAATGTGGGCCAGAAAGTGATAATAAAGTGGAAATGAGGCATTCCGAAAATAAAGGGAAAATAAACCTTGATTCCGCAAATGGCTTTCACATGTAATTACCTTAATTGCGAATTTACAGTAAGCACATTTAACATTCACACACAAGTGAGAAAAGCCCTTAAATGTACTAGAAATGAGCTTCTTGCACATGTGCAGATAGAGGAATGCTCGCTGGAACAATGGGGAAAGCAGGGAAATGCTCCCAAATTTTCATTTGCTTTTCACATTACAGTAAATTACCTTAATTTCGCATTTGCATTTCCTCCAAACAACCAAATTTCAAAAGATCTCGGTTAACACAAGTTTCTGTCCACTTTCTGTCCAGTTTCTGTGCGACGTCGTGTGAAAACACGGGGCACAAATCCAGTTTCTGTTTGGGATTTGTGTTGATTAACCAGCAGATTTCCCCAGTGTGATAACGTCCTTAGATTGTTGATTTTCCTTTCTCCTATCTTCACTCCTCCTTCCTCTGAATCTAAACCCTCATATACAGTCACCCCTCTATTCTTGCGGGGGATCCGTTCCAGACCCCCCTGTGAAAATGGAAAATTGTGGATATTCAAGCCCCATTGGCTTGAATGGAGGCGCACACTTGTGGGGGCATGCTAGCGTGCGTTATGGGCACACACCCCATTTTGTCTCCCTCCATTTGCTGCCTGCAAATGGGCGAGGGACGCGCACTTGAAGTCCGCAAAAACAGAGGGGCGACTGTATTTTCAGCATAAAAGTTGAACAAACAGGGAAATAAAATGCAGCGTTGCCTAATCCCTTTGCTAATTGGAAACCATTCTATTTCTCCATATTCTGTTCTGACAGTAGCCTCTTGTCCTAAGTACAGAAGTATCAGAAATAGTGGCACTCCCATGACTTTAAGATACACTGGTAGCATTTCATGAATGCCATTCTCTTCATTTTGGTGGTGGTTGTTGTGTGCCTTCAGGTCACTTCCAACTTACGGCAACCCTAAGGGGTTTTCTTGGCAAGATTTGTTCAGAGGAGACTGGCCACTGCCTTCCCCTGTTGCTGAGAGCATGTGACTGGCCCAAACTTACACAGTGGGTATCATGGCCAAGTGGGGAATTGAATTTTGGTCTCCTGAGTCCTAACCCAGCACCCAAATCATGACACCACACCTCCATCTATTTTCTGCAGAGTTCCTAAAGAACCCCCTTATCTGTCCACCTTCCCCACCAGGGTGTCCTCCTTTTCCAGGACACGTCTTCCATTTCAACCTTCTGTCAAATGCCAAGATATCCTCCATTATGAGCAGGCCTAAGAAGCATACATTGACATTTCTAGGTGAGTTTTTGAGCTTTTCTTAGCTTGTGTTCTCCATTTTCTGGGAATGCCCTCCACTTCCCCTGGTGCCTTGTCCTCCTTTGTGATGACATCTGGTCACCCTATTCTCTACCAACTCTCTCATTCTTGCCTGCTGGGAAAGTGCTGCCCCCAGTGTTGTCACTATGGACGTTATCACACGAGGGCAAATCTGCTGGTTAATCCACACA